AAAATAGAGCAGTGATGATTGCCAAAATGCTAGAGGTTTTCTATTCCTTCCATCGTGCTGTATTGTGAGTAGTGTTTTGGGGAGTGTGGGGGGGGAAGCATTGGAATCTCAGGGTTTTTATTTCACCATGAAACTTTAGCACAAGAAATTTTAATTGTGGATCCTTGTGGACAAGACCTTGAAATCCTACCCAGCCAGGGCTTTCTGGTCCCGGAGTGTTCTTGGAACTGGTTGTGGCTCCCAGTCACTTGGTTGCTTTATCCAAGTTTGTTCTCTCTGCCCTTCAGTGGGGTGGGGAATGGGTTAGAGGGTTAACTGTTTGTTAGCAGGCCTGGACATGAGAGCTCAGTATGAAGCTATTTCATAGCTTGTCTTTCAGGCAGTGTGCTTAAATCTGTTTTAGAGGATATTGCTGTAGGAGTGTTCTTTTTTCTCTTGCTCTGGAAAGTGATAGTCCTTTAAAGCAGCTGGCACCTAATCAAGAAACTTTGGAGAAGGAACATGAGTGCAGCCGCTCTGAGTAATTGATTGTGGCTACTGGTTGACTGCATCAGTGTTTGCGATAGAATGAAATACTATATGTTGGAGGGCCTCAGAATTATCAGGGTATTTAATCATGGACTGGGCACTTCTCTGATGTATTTATGTGTATTACCATCAGAGGGTCACTTAGGTGACACACTAAGATAATAGAAAGAAAGAGGACTTGGAACTTGAGGAAATATATCTTCTTGTTCAAGTTTTAAATGTACTGAACTTCTTGGGAAATACCAGTAGCCAACTAATGCACCTCTGGATGATTAATCTGCATTTTAGAGTGTGAATATTTTGATTCGGGTCCTCTGTGGGTATAAGTTGGAGGTACCACTGTGACATTGATATAGACCAGATGAGAATTTGGCTTAGTTGTACTGAAAGGTGGGTCAGAAATCCACATGAGAAATCCACATGAGCTCAGATTATTTGGAGACTTCTATTTCCCAAGTCCAAATATACTATAAAAACAGCCCCTCCTGCAGAATTGTCCTGTTTCCAGATCCCCCAGAAAACCTGCAGTGGTAAAGGTTTTGAGAAGTCTAAAATCAAAAGGTGATTTAGTTAAACTTAAAAAAAAATCTTGTTTTTGTTCTAAGGAGGTTTGAAAAAGGATTCTTGAAGCAATGCTGACATTTCCCCATTGTTTTCATTCCCCGGGTCTTAATAGAGATTATTGTTTCTTCTTTTCTAAATTTTCAGATATTTCTCTCCTTCATTACTTTAAATTTAATATAGTGATTAATTTCACTTCTAATTTTTTTTTTTGGTGGTAAAATCTCAATAAATCCAAAATTCAGGAAGCTAAATACCTTGATAACTACTTGCAGAACATTTTCAATAGTAATATTAATAAGGTTATAACATTTTTATTAAAATAAGTTTTTCTCATGATCCCTCAAACACCTTCCTTCTGCCAATAGCTACACCTATTTTCTTTAAAATCAGCTTGAAGACTGGAACAAGAATCCTTCCTTCAAACTGCCACCAAGGGGGAAGACAAAAAGCAGATGGTACATTTCATAACCTTGCTGATCCCCACACACATTTCAGACATAGACTGGCATTCATCTGCCCTATTTTTATACATCTAGAATCTAGACATCTGAATCTAAACTAGTCAACCTCAGTCAATGTAACAGTCAGTACAAAAATTGCAGATTTCAAAGTTTATGTGACTGTCCATCCCAGACTGCATTTTTCTTTGGGGGAGTGGACTAGATGATCTTTCAAGGTCTCTACCAATCCCTAATATTCTGTGTGAATCTGTGATTCTCTCCACTTATGCACACCTCCAGTGTGGGTAAATGAGACTGAAAAGTGTGAAAAAAGGAGGAGTAAACACAAACACAAGGTGTTTGTCATCTTCTGTTTCTCCATTCACAACAAAACAGATTAAAAATAAAAATAATAATAAAAAATCCAACTTAACCTCTTTTCTTGAAATAGAGCAGGAAGGAAACAAAATAATAGAAATTAATTACACCCCATATGCAAAAGCCGTACATGGTCTTGCATAATATTTAAGTGATCCTTTCTCCAAGGAAGAATTTCCCCTTGAGTGGGTCAACTCTCAGATACCCACATCAAAAATGACCATGCTAAAATTTATTGTTCATCTGTTTCCTTCTACATCAAGCATCTTCCTGGCTGACCAGAAGTCCCACCATGGCTCATCTCATGTCTGGAGGGTAGCTGTTCCTCTGAACAAACCTCTTTAAGGACTTGGTCTGAGAGATGTCCTCATGCCTTGCCTGATAGCTGTGAAATTTAGTGGAAGAGTTTGCTGCCTGCAAGAGACTGACCAGAGGACACGATCCTGATATACCAAAAGTGTAGTCTTTGGATCTGCCATAGGAAAAGGAAGAGAGCTGTGTTCAGCTCCCACACCAACATGGAAGATTAAAAACTGCAGTCCAAGCACCAGACTTGGATAAAAGGAAGGTGAAGAAATTATTTATGTGCCCTTTCAGGTCAGGGTGTAGCTGTGCAGGGAAAAGTAGGAAAGGTTTATCTACAGCAGGAAAAATGAGGCTGAATCTGTAACGTAATGTTTAGAGAATTCACCTGAACATCTGCAACAAGGATTTGCCTCCCCTTGGCTTCCATTGTAAACAGTTCAGCAGTGTCAGCTCATAATGTTTGTGTCATACTGACCAAAAATGTGTTGATTTAAGACAGAGAAAAGTTCCAACATATTATCTGTCTATCTGTCTTTAAAATGCTGAATCATTATTTTTTAATGTGAAGTAACTATTTCTTCTTTTTTGAAACTTGCACTCTCCATTGAAAAATAAAAATAAAAAAGGAAAAAAAAAAAAAAAAAGAGAATGGAAAATGTAACTGTATTACTAGGTACTGCTCTGCCAGATTCTCACTTGGCCTGGATCAGTATACCTCTGTTGACCTCAATAATAATTTAAATCGAGGGCAAGCAAAGAACTTGGTGTTCAGTCATAGAGTGGTTGTGGCTAATCTGCTGAACAAATCAGACAAGACCAACTAGATACTTCATAAATTCACAGCACCTCATGGCCAATACCTTAATGTCAATCAGTGGCACAACAATCTAATTGGAAGATTGTATTATTATTGTTGTTATTTTTGAAGGCTTTGGCTTTTTTCCATGGGCTTTTGCCAGGTTGCTCAATAGTGTCGCTGGCATCAAACTGAAGCTATTTTTCCCAATATGAGCATGAGATGGAAATTTAACTAATTTCAGAAAAACAAAACAAAACAAAACAACAACAAAAACTCCTTTAAAGGAGGCACCTGGTTTTTAGTAGAGGCAGGTTAGTACTCACCTTATTAATGAGAAGTGCAAACGTTTTACCAGCATCCCTTATTTGTGTTCCCAGATGTCCTCTGACTGCGAGCACACTGCTACTACACAGCATAAATGAATTTTGTGCAGTTTTGCCCTCTCCCAGTCCTCAGTGGCTGTTTGTGAAGGTACCTGTAAACTCTCCAGTTCTTTACCAATTAAAGCTTACAGAAAGTTTTTCCATATCCATCTACGATTTTCCATACCCAGATGCAATTTCCAACAAAGAGGGGAAACGGTATCTCCATCTACATAGCTAAGCACCTTCAAGGCACCATTGCAATATTGCTCTTGGATACATGGGAAAAAAGTAGCATCACTCCCTAATCCAGCCCAGACTTGCCATGGTTTCCATGCCTCCCCTGGGGGAATGATGGTAGGATTGCAATGTGGTACAGACTGTGCAGGAAAGTACTAGTAAGCATTACACTTCAAGCCTGCAATTTTCTGCTCTTTGCTTCATAATGAAATATTTAATCTTCTGTTGTTTTGTAGGGTGGATTTTTTATTTTTTTTTCAGGATGGGGGGGGGGAGTGACAGGCAAGGAAGCAGTGAAATTGCATTGCTTTCCCTATTGTAGCTGAGTTTTTTGTTTTACTGTGCTGTTGTTACAGCTCTGAAATACAGTGGAAGAAGGAACAGGAGGCACAGCAATGAGAAGGAAGAGAAGGAAGAAAAATATTTCTATACTGATGTTGATTAACTGATATGCAAATGAAAGAGAGAGAAAGAAAGGGGAACACATTAACAAATCTCTATTTAAATCCTAACTTACAAGTGAAAATGTGTTGGCTCCTTCTAAATCCCTGCGGAGATTTTGAGACATTGAAGCCAGCAGACACCCTATGATCATCTAACCTGACCTTTCTTAACTCAGTCTAGAAACTTTACCCAGTGATTCCTGGAATGGAAGGAATTATCCCCACTATGTGAGTACATTTCTAAGATGCAGCTTAATAAACTGATTATGGGTATCATATTGCCTGTGATAGCAGAGCGCTGGATGTCATGGACCGGTTCCTGTGTTCCTCTGGAGGAATGTTACCAATGACTTGTGGTTGAGCTAATGCACATTTATCCCTTCTTCCTGCAACTGCTACTAATTCTGACATTGCTGACAGAGCTGCCTCGTCCTAGCATGCATAGGGAGATTCATAGTCATATGAATCATAGCACAGAGGGAGAGCTATATTGCAAAAATATTTCAGTTCATTCCTGAATTGATTGGGTCAAGATGGACTGATTTTTTCTGCTGTCAAAGTTAAATCTGCAACTACAGGAGTGTAGCATTCTGTGTTGCAGACCACTTAGACACTGTGCTGCCATACTTTGGGTAGCAAGGGATTTACATTGCTGGCCATTCTGGTGCATTTTAAAGAAGGTAATCTTCCTTCCTCATGGCCCAAAGACACAGGTAGTCAGACACATACCCTTAAATGACACTCATTTGCAAGCCACCAAGGACAAAAGTGCATCAGAAGTCATAACCTTCATTCCACATAGCAGTTTTACAGTAGGGCAAGAGAAACCCCTCCATCTCGTATGTTCTACCCATTGATTCCTGGTAACAAAGAACATTTTGTAAGACAATGACAGGTCCACTTTCCATGAAGATGGCTTTTTCTGCTGCCCTGAAATTTCATCTGGAGGGGAAAAGGAAAATTTGACCATTTAGCCAGGACTTCCCACCAGAACACAGCAGCTTCAGAATGTCCAGTCCCAGGGCAAAGAAGCCCCAGGTTGGCTGCATGGGAAAAGGGAGATTAATGTAGCCTGGATATGGTGGTTTCATGGGAAATATTTTGTACATTTCTGTACTTGTGCACAGAAACTATGTTAATGTGAATTGAGTTGAACTGGAATTAAAAGACAGGCTCTGGTTCTTTTGCCTTGAGGTACAATTTTCATCTCCTGGATTCCACATGGTTTTTGTATTTCCTTGTTGAAAGCTGAAGGACAGCATAAAGTTAGATGATTCTACAGATACTGGCTGCAGTTAGAAAATGTAGCTGGTCATACCTGAGCAAGGAAAGTAAGGATTATCTTTAGCTTGGGACTGCCTGAAATAGTTGCTGCAACTGTTGGAATTAGGGCATATCCTGTTTGGGAAATGTCACAGATCTCATACTGTTAGCAGCAGTGGGCCACCATGGGAAAGCCAGGGCTGTTATTCATGTTTCAGTCTCCACAGAGTTTAGTGGTCGAAACAAAACTCAAAGTTGCAAAAGCTTGGAACATCGTGAAAATATAGTTATCTGGAATTGGTCTAAGAATCTTCCATGGCGGTTACTGGCATCACGTGAAGAACCTAGGAAGATAGGTCTCTCCTTCTCAGGATGCAGGAAGCATTGTTGGGATGGCTTTTCTGAAGGTATTTTGCTTCTGCACTTCCCTTCACAGTCTGTAACAAAGCCACATCCTGAAAACAATGGACACGGAGCAGGAGATTGGAATCTGATACTGGAACTGCTGAACACTTGACACTAAAAATGTTAGCATCCCACCCATGTGCTAATGGAGACTCACTGCAACTGCTACTAGTGAGGGTATTCAGACATTTGAGAACAGGAAAAGCATGGAGGTTGAGGCTGGAACAGATGCTGCCTAGGAGTGAGGAACCTGTAATCAAGTCCTCCATGGGGGTACAGACACGCAGCAGGACAAGAATAGTTTCAACACAGTATAAAGTTTGGCCTTCAATGGGATATTGAATTCTGTAAAATATAATGTCTGTTCTTGAGGAAGGGAAAAATGGGCTTCAGTGGATTCAGTGCAGCTCTTTGGATTTCAGAGCTGAGGGCTCAGGCTCGGTGTTTCTGAACATCTATCAGCAAGCTAAAGTGGTTCATAGCAGCTCTATAGGAGGAACAAGACTTCCACCTTTCCTAAAGAAAGTTTTCTGACAGCACAAATCAGGTGTACTCTGAGTTGGTTGCCATACACAAGTCTTACAAGTCTTACCTTAGCAGTGCAGCAGACACATCTGGAGGGCTTAAAATTACATTTGGTTCTTAAGGGTGCACTCTAAGTCCTCTCTGAGGGCTCACTCTAAGCCTTGCAAAATGGAGCTGCTGCAATTGGGTGGTCTCTGACCACAGGTGCACTTCTAATTAAAATGCAATGTGAAAAATCAGGGGAAAGACCTGTAACAGGGAGCAAGGGGCTTGCTAAGGAGCCTTTTTTTTATGGCAGCTTTACAGAATTAAGGCAGGTAGGAGTTTGGAGCAGGTGGTGTTCATAGAAAATAAGTTATTATGACTTCTTACTAAAGTATAAGATGCTCATTCACAAGAGACTTCTCTCCCTTTTGTAATTTTGTTGATTACTCCTCACTCTACTGCTTTATTTTGTCCTATTTCAAAGCAAACTAGATACAAGAAAATGAATAACAGATAATGTGGTTCCCTTAACTTAAAACTTTGTCACTTTGAATTCACCTGCTTAATTAAATGTGTTTCCTGATTCCTTTGTTTGGTATGCTCAAGGAGCTTCTCCAGCATGAGGCCTCTCCAGATCTTATTACATGACGCAGGATGTCCCTGGCAATATTACAGGGGAGGAAAAAAAAAAAAAAAAGGCTGGGAATATGCCTGCAGGAATAAGATTTAGGTGCCACATTTAATGGCATTTTGACTACTGCACATTTTCCCAACCAAGCTCTAATTGTCACTCCAGAAGTTGCAGGTCTCCCAGTAAATCTATGTCAAAGATACTTCAGAGCATCTTAGTAGATGAGAAATACCTATGTGTGAGCAGCTAAACTGCAATATGAATTTATATACTTTTTATGCTACTTCAGCAAAAATGGAACGTATATTAACATTTATCTCCAATATTTTATTATCAGTATGTCCTAGAAACCTGAATACTCTTAGTACAAACAATGACCTTTATTGCTACAATATCTTGATTTATTTTCAACCACATGCCAAATGCTCACTTTTCTATTCACCAGGTTATCTTCATTGTTTGAGGAGAGAAATGTTACTGCCCAACTTTTTCTACTGGAAGTCTAGAAACTTCGGATGCTAACCATGTAATCATTTAAATTTTAGCTAGTCAGTCTTGGCATTCTTCTTAATCCTTGGAAAGAAAACAGCACCTCCAGAAAGGAGGGAACACCCTTTAGAGATGTGTCTTCCATCCCATAGACTATCAAATGAACCTCAGTTGACCAGCTAAGATGAATAGTTAAGTCAGATGAGATGAATCCCACATTTAGTATACAAGTCCCAAAAGAAATTGAGGATGTGTTTAATTTTAAATGATATCCACATATTGAGATGAACATTTGTGGAGATATTGGCTTTTGACCATTTTCTCATTTAAGCAACACGGTTTTTCATCATTCTCCTACAGTAACTTCTTAAGTCTCCCAAATTAGGAAAGATTTTATACTCATATTTCTTCCCAAGTTGCCACTTTTAACTGGCCAGAGAAGACCAGTTCATGTTGATTTTTCTTAACAATTACCAGTTTCTTGTCAGTATTGGCAGCTGCCAGTCTCACCTCTATTTAATGCCAGGCCTGTTCTAGTGAGAATTGTCTCTAATTCTGGTTAGAGGTATATATAGTGTGGGGAAAAAAAAATAAAAATAAAATAATATGTATATATATATATATGAGAATATCTTAAGATCTTATTACTCAAAAGCATTAAACTGAGAGTTCACAGTGTGCACCAATAACTTTTTATTAGTCACAGTTGCTTTCTAGGGTGTTCTTCATATGTCATGGTTACAAGTGGATTTTCTAGAGGAAGGAGATAATCAATAATCTGGATTTTTTGTATTGCTGTTACTACAGTGGGAAACTAAAGTTCCTCCATACTGGAATTCGATCTCTGTAAGAAGAGGAGAAATAAGAAGAAAATAATAATAATAATAAAATAATAAAAAGATACATATAGAAGTTTATAATATTTTTAGAGTAAGAAGAACAGATATCTCAAGCACAGATGGAAGCCTAGTGACATTTTTATATTTCTTTTGTGAAATGCTATTATGTGTGTGCAAATGAAATCCAGTATGTTGCCCATTAGTATTTAAAGACATTCTAGGTCCAGCAAGGAATGCCTGTCTGGACTCACAGCAGTATCAACAGGGACTGCATACTTCTGAGGTGGATTCCCTCAAAGACAATATTCAGTAGAAAATTCTGGTGATCAGATCCTCAACCTGTGGGAATCAGAAGTTTTTCCACCTGCCCAAAGCCGAGTTTCCATTGTCTATTCCTACCAGATCATAGAACATTGACAGCTAAATTTATTATGTCTTCAGAACAGGAGATAGCATTTGTTCAAATAATTCCAGCATTTTATCCTCTCCTCAAATAGGGTGTATTCCCTAAACCAAAAGTAATATTGCTCAATACTACCTGTGTGGTGCAGCTGTTCCTTACACATGGATATCATTTAAGCAAAGACTCTGGATCATGTCCTGAGCTTCAGGTCACTCTGGTGAGGAATAGGTGGAGAGAGCTTTATCTGGGAAAGCTTAGAGAGAAGAGCAGTAACTTAAATATGTCCCTAGCTGCCGTGCTGTTCAGAGGCTGAGATGTAAGAGGGCCTGTCAGTCTAGAAAAGATGGATTAGTGAGCTCATGTAAGTGAAGTTGCATAATAAATGCAATTTATCCCTGGATCCACAATTTGCATGGGGCTGTCCCTCCAGGACTGCCTGTCTTTCGGCACAGTGCATCAATACACACACATACCACTGTAGATAATGCATTTAGGTGTCAAGGGGTTGTGGTCAATCAATCACTCCTTTGGCCACCACCTCTCTTCCCCTTCCCTCCAGGGGGGCAGTGTTCAGGGCTTTATTCTTTCCAGTCATCATTTATTTCTTTTGAAAGAACAAGCCCTCTTTGTCTGGGGCTCCTTCAAGTCACACTAGATGGGAGGGGTGGGGGGATTCTCTCACACGGTCTCTGAGGCAAACCCCACAGCTGATTTCTGAGTACACCACGTACCATGGTGTCACAAAGATACCACAAACAGAGAAAAGTCATGCAGCCGTGTGTTATGGGAGCTGGCCCCAGATTCATGCCAAGATTCTGGATTTCCTGGCGCTCTAAAGCTCTTTGGACCATAGGGATTATACATTGCACAAGGTATCAGATGCCAAACACTGACTTTTAAAAAAGCACATGGGAAACAAATCAAAATGACCTTTTTTTTAAAAAGGGATCCTATAGATATGTTTTAAACAATAACAGAGCAGGAAACTTTGCCTTATTAGACATTTACCCAGCTTATCTGCCTGCTGGCATTCCTCAAGTGCACTTGAACACATGCTGGGCCATCTAGGTCTGGGATCCTCTCTGATTTCACAAACCAAGCAGGGTCAGTCCAGGGCAGAGGTTGGATAGGATTCCTCTTAGTGAAAACCCGTCTGTCCATCAAAAATGGTGCTATTCCCTCAATTGGCAATGAACTTCTTTTTCAGTCAAAGGTTACTACAGTGCTGGGAAAAGCTGAAGGTGTTCCTCTGAAAAATGGGTCAAATCTGTGGCCTTCTGACTGCCCATCCATTAAGGACTCAGTACACTTTGGACACCACTGGGAGTATTCTGCACAACCTGGCCAAACTTATTTGTAACTTACCTGCCACCACTCTACAATGTCCTTGACAAATTAAAATCTAGACCCAGTATCGATCTCTGTCTTCCCTCTGCTAGAGAGCAGATACAGTATCAAGAGTGTTCCTGGCGAGTAAAACTTTTGCATGCTTTCAGCATATGAGTAATGCTATCAAATTCCACAGCAGAGCTTAAAATGGGCATTTGTGGAAATGTCCACACAGGCATTTCAGGATTTAAACTGTATTCAGTGGGCTTTAAGTCACATAAATATATGTCTGCGCTGTAGAAAGCTACCTGATCTTATAACCCTCGTGTCTCCTTAGCTCTCAGTGGAAAAAGGTCTTCTTAGGACAAGATCTGTATAATTTGGTAACTACATCCACTTTATGAAGATTAAAATGTGGAGAAGTTTTTGAATGAATTCAGTAAATTTATGCCAGATTGATTCTGGGGTTCAGTGAACTGTAGCATTATTTGTTTGCTGCTAGGAGCCCTGAAGCCAGTTTTAGCATATCTTCAGAGGTAGCATCAGGTTTGGGGCTGATAAATGCTTTAAACCAGCACAGTGCACAAAGGAATCAGCCTTGTTCATCCCTCAGCCCATGCCACTACCTCTCTCCAACATCACCAAAAGAACTCTCCATCCCAAAAGCTAGTTTTTCTCAGAACGTGAAAAAGAATTATCTACTCATTCTAGTTTTAAGTGAGTAAAACTCAGACTGGGTGAGAGTAGAAATAAAAAGAGTTGTAAACAAGTCTCTCCACCTGCCCTTTCTGGCTCCACTTGCCTGATGAGTTCCTATGCATGAGCTTGCTTTCAGTCCAGCAACTCTCAGAGGAAGCCTGAATGGCAAACATGTCTTCATTGTCCCCTTTGGCACCCTCAGAAATTTGTGTTTGTCGAGCTGGAAAGCTTCACCCTTGTGCTCACAGCTATTCTCAGCCAGGGCTCTGCTCTTTCCTGCAGTCTCCATACTGTCTGTATCCGTATCTCATCCTCGCCTTGCCCTTCTTAAATGCCTTTTTCATAGGGGTGGCCTTACTGCTGTCAGAAAGGTTAGAATTTCCATTTCCTCTATTTGGCCCAAAGGGTAGCATCTGATACAAGACAAACAAGCAGTCTTGTCTCCTGCTGTTCAGTTGCAGTTATTTTAAAGAGCATAAGTTATAGCATGTCTATAGTTCATTTTTTATTTTTTTATTAAAAAAAAAAAAAAGAGAAAAAAATAATAATAATAATTCTTCAGTTAGCCTATCTCTTTAGCTGAACTTATCCTTGGGCTGTTGTCTTCAATTAAGAGAGTAATAAAGAGAAGGTAATATGCAGTTGATAGGAGACATGGTTGCAGGCACTATAACTTGGTTCAGCCCATGCTGCAGTTGTTCTGTATTCCGGACTACAAATTTGTGATTTTGTTCAAGGCCAGAATATACACTAATTTCAATCAAAACATTGAGAGATAAAAATTGTAGTAGTGTAGGAAAATGGTTTAAAAACAAGATCCAAAGTCCTTTTGGAGGAGGG